TCTTGAAATACATAACATTAACTAGGTGCAGCACTGCTATCTGGTAATGGTAATTATAACACATAAGCTGGTCTTTAATGCTGTTGAAGGAAGCGAGTTGGCTGATTTACAAAGAATTAATAGATCAGTGATTCTAATGTTTAAGAAATTGTATACATATTCCTATACAATCAGTATCTGAGACTGAAAATATTTTACCAGATCATGTGTTAATAATGGTCTGAAGATTCAGTGAGCCACTGTTACACAGTTAATACAGAATTTTTTTTTCTCATTTATTCCCCATTCCTCATTGTTGTTGGGTAATATTGCATCACTACTTTGAAATTACATTTTTTCTCTAAAAACATTGTGCCTTGATAAGCTATTCGGTCACTGGAGATAGCCCATATAGTGTGAGATTACTGTCGCCTATAGGCGAGATCAAGTAGAAACTGAGACCACAGCTGTCACTGCTTCCATTGTCCATTCGTACACATTTGTACACTTCTCTCCAGCAAGTGCACCCTGTCTAACCATGAATCACTGCCCACTGACTTGTGTGTAACTGTGCTGATGGAGGGTGCGATGAACTGATGTGTCACTGTTCTCATCAGATGGTGACCATTCCTCCTCTGATTCAGAAATCACACGACACCAGGTTATAGTCCAACAGGTTTATTTCAAAACACAAGCTTTTGGAGCCTCACTCCTTCTTCAGGTGTTGGTGAGAGAGGTAGCATCAGACGCAGAATTTATAAGTAAAAGCACAGAGGAAATCTTCCTCTTCTTGGGTTCTGGAACATTATGTCTAAAATGTTAAATATATTGTCTAGCTGAATGCCCACTGCACAATTTGATTTTATTGGCATCTATATTTTATACGTGTAGTAATATTTGGGCACTAAAATATTTTTAAATATTATTTTCTTAGTGTCAGATGTCCTTATGAAAAAAGATAATATTCTTGTCTTTGTTTTCTGTGATAACTGCTAATGGCTTCATGCCAAGTCAAAATTATTGACGATTCTTGAAATACATAACATTAACTAGGTGCAGCACTGCTATCTGGTAACGGTAATTATAACTCATAAGCTGGTCTTTGATGCTGTTGACAGAAACGAGTGGGCTGACTTCCAAAGAATTAACAGATCAGTGAAGGATCTTCTTTTACTTATAAACTTTGTGTCTGATTCCACCCCACTCACTGAAGAAGGACTGAGGCTCCAAAAGCTTGTGTTTTCAAATAAACCTGTTGGACTATAACCTGGTGTCGTGTGACTTCTGACCTTGTCCACGCCAGTCCAGCACCGGCACCTCCACATATGTCCTCCCCTCAGGCATTATGTGCTGTCAGAGCCTCAATCACTATTAGACATGGGGAATGATAAGAGTGCCTTTTGCCTTCAGTCAACTTCTGCTGTCTGTCCTCGATCTATAGCTTCCTGAGATCATCAAGGCCCACAGGGATGCCAGAGTTAGTCAGAAGGATCGATGCACTCATCGCGTTACTCCATGGACATTACTCCTTCCTTGCCGTCAATGACAGGCTGCCTTCTGTGACCCATTCTATTCCCATTGCCAGCTTCTCCGTTTGGACCACCACTGCTACACCTGCACCTCCAGTTCTTCTATGCTTCCTGGCATCATAAATGCATCTCTCCTGGAACCAAATATAGACATTACGTCCATTGAATTATCATGTTCACAGTGCTGATCAGCCTATGGCAGCTTTCCTGTCCCTCATCACTTCACTGGGAGTCTGCTACAAGCTGCCATTCAGTCTTGGAAATGCAATGATCAACTCTGACAGATCTGGACCTTCTCTGCCTCTGACACTGGTCATTCATGGTGCATGAGTTTTTCCACGCGGGCACCATGTATGATGTGCAGGCCTGCATGCCTGCTATCATAAATGCCAATCATCTCACTATATCATATGTACTATGTTGTTGAAACATTTCCACCGACGCCCATGTTATCATAACCACACATGGCTGCTGACTTTGTCATCCAGCTCCGGCTGTGCCACCTTGGGAGGGTTTGCTGACCTATCCACTCCACTGGGAGGAGCGCCTTTCTCCATACCTTTGACAACCTGGAGCAGCATTTTCAATGAGTCAGCATTCGACCTTGGTGGAATCATTCCTGTGATTTGTGTCGTTCCTGCTCAGTCTCCCTTATTCAACACCTTTCCCACTGCCCTTTATGGCTGCAGTTTGTATTACAACTGCTGACTGCCTGTTAAATATTGCTCCTGCCTTTGAGCTACCTCCTGCCTGCCACCTATTATGTTAATATTTTGAATCAACCTGTTTGCAAATGTTATGACACTCCTCTGTGATGGGTGAGATGTTAACCCAGATGCCACCCAATTATTAGCTGGCTTTCCAGCCAATTGGCACTTCATTGGCTGCTGAAGGCAAAATCCCTGTATATGCCCTACCACAGCAAAACGACCCCTACTGCTTCCTGACATCAGGGCTTTCTCTCTTTTGGCGCAGATTAGCTCACAATGTGCATTTGGTAGTCTTGAAAAGGCTTCATTCTTCGAAACACACTGTTCTCTGGTTTACAGGATTAGAATTAAAAATAAAGCAAATAGAATGGCATCATTATGAAGAGAGACCTTGTATCTGCTGGTGGATGCTAGTGTTCAGCATGGCAATCATGTGTACTTTCCTGTTGCTGATGTACCTCCTAACGCCAGAACCATTCAAAATTAGAGAAGTTGAAGTAGTTTTAAAGTAAGTAATTGTAAGGAGCACTTCGCTTGTTTAAAAATCTTAAATAGACAACCAAAGTATTAACAGCATAATACTACTTAAATTTTTTTTTACTCTGTTTTTCTCACTTCCAAGCTCCCTGAACCATAATTTCTGAGGATATGAGTATTTTAATGCAGTTTTACCTGACCTCCATTCTTTCACTTAGAAAACATAATCTCCCTAACTCATCCCTGGCTCCTTGAATTTAATGTTCTAATCCTTGTTTTAAATTTCTTAATGGACTTGTTCCTTTTTATTTCCTCCAGTGCTCAAGATCCTTCAGCCTTTGTGTCTACCTGACTTTTTAAATTGTCATTCAAAAGTATTCTGCTTCTGCACCTTCCACACACCCTTGTAAGATGCTAGTCCAATTCACCTCTTTGTCCAAGCTGATGTCACCCCTTCTAATGTCTTTTCCTTTGGCTTGGTCTCTATTGCCAAATCCCTCTGTGAAGCACTTTGAGATGATTTTCCAACACATTATAAGCATTATTGTGTTTCATAGAATCCGTACACTGCAAAAAGAGACCATTCAGCCCATTGTGTCTGCACTAATCCTTTGAACAGAATCTACCCTCCATCTGTGCATTTACCAGGCCTAATCCACCAGCCTGCACGCTATAGGGCAATTTAGCATGCCCAATCCACCTAACTTGCACATCTTTGTACTGTAGGAGGAAACTGGAACACATGAAGGAAACCCACACAGACACAGGAAGAACATGCAAATTCCACACAAGCAGTCAACGAAGGCTGGAATTGAACCCAGACTCCAGGTGCTGTGAGGTAGTAGTGCTAACCACTGAGCTATCACACCACCCCAAATTCTAGGGAACAAAGTTGGTGTATTTGTATGGACATTTTACATTCTGCTCTAAACAGCCTGTTTACATTATTGCACTGTACCATATTATGTGCTTGGAGCTGACCTTATTTTATTTTCCCTGCAGCTTCATTGGACAGCTCACCATAAGTGTGTGGTCCTGAAGATACTGCTACAAATTCTTGACACAAAGCAAATCTGCGGCTTTCCACTCTGCTCCTAACCAGAAGTGCCCTCTCATGCTGGATACAACTCTCCTGTGGTAGAAAAAATGATATTCTCTGAAAAATATTTGCTAAAGCTTTTGGGAATACATGACTTTGGGTATATGTGCCATGCAAGTAGGTTATTGAAACCATCCAGACATTGAAAAAAATCAAGAAGTTAAATTCTTTAAATATGTCGGCTGACCTTTGTGAATTGATCTGATATTTGGAGACCACAAAGCTTTGATTTTTGTGACAATGGTGTGCGGTAAAGCTTTACACTAGTGAGAGCTTCAGAAGTGGTTTTCACCCTTTAGTTCCTCCTTGTGTTGCCAGAGCAAGTGCTCCATTACAACTAAAGGTAATGCAGTGAGAATTGGGAACTGCAATATTTGACCAATGTGTAGAGATAATTCAGCCAATGGACAGATTAGAGGATGGAGGAGAGAAACTTTCATCTTTGTCCTTGAGATAAAGTAGTTGGAACAATGAATTTAAAACAGTTATGTCCAACACAATGACTTTTTCACTAGACTGTCTATTGGTAGTACGCAACCTTTGGAAACAACAACAGCTCCAACATAATTGAACATCCTGTTGTGGGAATGTTATCGAACCACAATTAACACTGAGTCACATGAGCATATATTAGAGGAGATTGCCAAAAGCTAGGTTAAAAATATAGATTTTAAAGCACACCTTAAAGGAAGAAAGGAGAGATTTAGGGACAGAATTCCAGAAATTAAGGACCTGACAACTGAAGACAGCGCTGTCAGTGGTGGAGAAATCAAAATTGGGATGTTCTTAAATTGTAGGATGTCAAAGTATTCCAAGGACATTCAAGCTTATGTTTAACTGCCAATACAAATTTGTTGGTATTTCCGTTCCCAACATAGACATACATATGTCGTGTGTTTCCCTTTATACTCAGTCATTATGCTATCTGGAGAGAAGCTCTTCATCTCAATAGTTCTGTCTATTATATACATTTGCATGCATTATCCAACCTTTGGTAGACTGAACAAAGTTGGGGAAACTCCAGATTTGTACTATGATTTACCTGTAAGTTGCACTGCAAAATTATCGATTTTAATTTATTTAAAATCAACACTGTAGCATTTTGTCAGTTGTTGATGGGAGAGGTTGTGTCAAATCCCCAAGTCTGTAGCAATGTGCCATGTGAAATTATACAGTGGAGAAAATTAAAATTGATTTTTTTTTCCTAAAATGCTTAATGTAAATTGTTAATAGCAGAATCCTTTCATCATGGACTGATTTAATTTAATGTAGTTTCAAAAAACTCTACAAACACCCAGGTTGTTGTTTGGAAATTTACTGAAGAATATTTAAATATTTCACTTTTGCATCCTTCATAACATACAGATGAAGTCTAACAAACATGGATTTATATTTACTGTTTTAAAGGTTAAATTAATCATACAAATTAATCTTGCAGATAACCAGTTTTGATTTGAATGCTTTTATTGTCTACTGTGAAGTAATTTTGTTAAATTGGTTCATAGATCATAGAATCCCTACAGTGTGGAAACAGACCCTTCGGCCCAAAAAGTTCACACTGACCCTCAGAGCATCCCACCCAGACCCATCTCCCTATAGCCTGCCTAATCTACACATCCCTGAATACCTATGGGTAATTTAGCATGACCAATCCACCTAGCCTGCACATCTTTGGACTGTGGGAAGAAACCAGAGCACCTGGAGGAAACCCACGCAGACATGGGGAGAATGTGCAGACTCTACACAGACAGTCACCTGAGGAATCAAACCTGGCTCCCTGGTGCTGTGAGGCAACAGTGCTAACCACTGAGCCACTGTGCCGCTCCCTTGCTAACCACTGATTACACAATTAGTTGTTTTTCTTTCATTTTCTCTACAACTAAATGTGCGTAAGATTAATTTGCTTGCAGAAATTGTGAATGATCCTCTTGACTATACCAATCTATTGGATTTATGTGAAAAATCAATGTGCAAACTGAAACAGCACCAAAGAATGTAATTCTCCAGATAAATTAGACAAACAGGCATTCTTTAAATTTAGCCTTTGTCTTTCCTGACTTTGAAATAAAATTCTTAGTTCAAAGGGGATAGAAAGAAAAAGTTAAAATTATTGCACTTGAATGAGTAAAGTTGCAATAAATTCCTAGAAAATCATTCCAGTCCCCATTCAGCTATTACATACTTTAACACGGCTGCTTGTTTCCTTTTTTGATATTTATTACAGGAAGATTGAAAATGTAATGAAGAGTGAAAATTCATGTTGATACAGCAGCCTCTTATTTTTGAAACAGCTACACATTGTACAATAAGTGACAATTGGAATCATCTGAATAATTTCTCCAGAAAATCTTTCCCAGAAGTCAATTTCCCTCTGCTGATTTTACACTCAGAAACATGAAGTGATGTGTTTAAAAACCTACGAAATATAAGCCATTCTCAGAAAATGCATTTGAAGATCTCAGCAGTTGCTTTAAAAAGCTGTAAATTTGAAACTAACTCTATAAGAATATACTCCAATTGAATGCTCCGTGTAAATGAGCTGTGATATAACTGGACGCTGATCTCTTTTTAAAAAAAAAAGGTCTGTCAAGTTGTATCTGTAGCTTATGAAATTCTCAGCTGGAACAAGTTATGCAGTTATCATGTTTCAGTGCTCCTAAGGGATGATGGAGAACTTTGGCTAAGATTTAACCAGCCCTGGGATGACAGCCTGTGAGGTGGGTGGCCCATTTAAAAAAGTTGTGGTGCCACATTGTGATGGTTCCCCATTGTAATAATGCCACTGTGAAAGTTCTCAGAGGTAGGTGGCCAATTCTAATAAGTATAAGTACAATGAAGAACCATTTTCCTGTGCCACCAGCCGTCTCATGGGAGGAAGCTTCCAGCTGCATGAATGTGGACTCCAAACAGCGTCCTGTGAAATGGGGCAGAGGGTGGTGAAGGCCCAGTAGAGACAGGGCTCAATGACCCAAGAAGTAGTCTGCCAGCATCAAAAGCTATTCATACAGCTCTGATACCACTGCTGGAAGTGTTTCCTTTCCAGTTGCTGGGCCTGCCTGCTTAATCCCAGCAAAATTAGTACAGTTTTCTCTACCAGCTATGCAAAAGCTCCTCAAAAGGGAGGTACCATTGCATTCCCTCTACTGAACAGTAACCATCTCGCTCAGTGGCTCTGCAGAGAGAGATACCAGGGGTCAAATTGCACTAGCAGTGTCGAAACGTCATCTGTCTTCCTTAATTGGCTGCTTTGCCTGGCTGCCAGCTCTTAACTAGCTCATCCTGGCAATATGATAAAGGATGTCCAGTCTTCAGCCTAAGCATGCTGGCCAGCTGAGAAACTCCCTAACATTAAGAATTTCCCTTTTGTCAGAAGATCCCAGTCTCGTTCAGATGAAGTAAGAATTAGGACTGTAAAGCATAGTTTAAATCCAGAATGCCAAGTACAAATTTCTTAAAAGTGTCTCTTAATTTTAAATTGAAGTGAATTAAGAAGGCTCTTAAATGGCTCAGTAGCTAAGCACATTAATCTGCTGTATTAGCCAGTGAATTCTGGTTTACCTGTCTGCTCTGTACAGAGAAATTAGTCTAACTGGGGTAGGTGCCTTAGATCCATAGATCTAAGTAAAAAAGTCAGCTGCTTCTGGTCATTATCCAGGAACCTTTACTGACAGACTGATTCACACTGTCTATGATGCTATAATTTGGTATGAGTCATAACTTGGGAGTATTTTTTTTTTCCCAAGAACTTTGCACTAGATTTAACTGTAATAATTTAGAAAGTTCAATAAACTTTATTGTGCAAACACTTGTGAAGCCTCTGAATGTCAAATTTGCCTTTAAGGAGTGCCAGAACCTAAATGTGGCTCTCTGCTTACCCACCCCAAAATCCAATAATGTCAGTGTTACTGTCTTTATGAAGAATTATTTCAAAAATCTGATAAATTTGATCAAAAAGTTTCAAAAAAAATAAGATTTATGTTTAGAGTTCAGAGCTAATACCTAACTCTTGTTCCTCAGTCCTTCCTGTATTCCTTCTCAGTCATTACTGTCATTGTCTTTTCTTTGTTTTTTATTGTCCCACTCTTCACCATCGCCTTAACCCTCTCCCTACCACTGCTAGCTACATCTTATTTTAGGTAAACCTCATTGTTTAGCACTTTCAAATCTTAGACTACAGCAGGTAATATGTGTTATTGTGTATTGTACGTATTAGACCACTTTGAACACTTTACAATCTTTGAAATATTTATTGGACATTCACACTGCAGTAAGAAAGATTTTTAAAACAACTGACACTCCCATTTATTAAAATCTACATTTAATTTTGTAAAATATCTTTAATTTAGGAAGCCTGAGTATACACTAATTGTCCTACTAAAATTAATCAGTTTTCTAGCTTGGGTAATAAAAGGGTTCCACAATTTCTGACAGGTTTTTGCACTGCTTTATTTCACTAAAATGAAATAAGTTACCATTACATAAGAGAAGAATAGGTACATAGGAATAATTATCAATAATTTCTTTGTGTTAACTGTTGTTTGAGTGCTTGGTATTAGTTACCTATGGAAACACTGTGTTGAGGTTACTGTTCAGAAATCAGTTGCATTACTTTGTGTACAATGGAATTGGCGGGAACAGATTGAAGGATTTTTTTCCTGCTTATAAAGTGCCATGAAGGACACTGGGGCAAAAGTATTGAAAAGTCATACAGTTTTATCAAGTGATGAACTGCACTTAATTTCCAGCCAAATACTGTGCGCTTTAAGTTGTAATTTTAATATGTGTGTGTCCTGGAAGCACAAATTAACTGTGTCATGGATTCTGCTTTCAAAACTACAAAACTTTGCAAGTGCCAGTTGTTAATGTGACAAACCATCTTGTATTTTTTTGGTCAAACTGAAACTATTCAATCGAATTTGGAACTGTATTGCACTGACTATATGTCTTCATTTGAATGAACAGATTAAAAATCCTGTGGTGTAATTTTTTCCCGGGTTGTTCTATTGATGGGCTTATAACTGTATGAAATGTATGCAACTTAAGCAATGATGAAGTAGTACAGGACAGCTTCAAGAAAAAATCTGGAAGCAGTTTTGAGAAGGTATATCCTATGTATTTATGCATGTATGAAATGTGATGTACACAATAAAGATGTAATGGGTGTAGTATTTTCTTATGATTACCTTCAGTATTGTGTTCATGTTGAGTCCCTAGAATTTATTTAATACTGTAAGTACATACCTGTGAAATGAAAAAAAAATATTTTTTGCCATTTCTTTAGAAATGTTTTGATATACATAATCCTTTCACAATATTTAGGCTGCTACAAATAGTGTGTTTTTGTTGTTTCCTTTTCTACAGCCCAAGACTTGAAGATGCACATTGTATTGGTCACAATGTAGAATATATTGGGTTTTTTTTTACAAAGAGGTGGTTTCTGTTTTTAAACAAAGTCAGAAAATGGGGTCCAAATTGCACTAGTAAATTTCCTTTGGTTTAGTGGTAAATTTAAATATATTTTAGAATGTAAATAAAGGTGCCCACTAGTTCTAGTCCCTAAGAATACAAACTCAATTTTAAAAACTTTCTTGAACTGTCCAAAATGGAAGCAATTGTTAGAAACCCAATCCTTTTCAATCTAGAGGCACTGCCAGCTTTGGTAAAGTGATTTTAAGTTAACATTAAAACATTGCAGAAACATGATTTAAGCATGTTCTAATTTACCTTTGAATTTCCATGATATTTTGGGCTAGTTGAACAGATTTTAATATTGGTTCACTTATAAGACTTATGAAAGTATTACCCTTTAAAGTTACTTTAAATAATAATATTACAATAATACGTTCTGCAATTATTTGAACCGGTTGTAATCTTATGCTTTTTTGTCTGGTCTCGTTGATGTAATGTGCTAATGAATAGGACAGTAGTGACGGTGAGGAGGTGGGGAGGAGTGATGACATGAAAGAGAAATTATTTTGTAGCAAACGATTTTGAATATTTACCTGGAGTGGTAAGGAGTAAAGAAGAACCACTAAAGTGCAGCTTTCAACCAAATAATTAAACTCAATAATCCATAGAGTGCAGGATAGTTACTGTACCAGCACTTCAAGATTGAACTTTGTCTCTCAATACATTTACAGAGCTAAGATAACAGAATGAGATTGAAAGAGAGCATCTTATATTTTGTATTGGGCTTTTTACGTCTTCTGAATGTATTGAAACTCTTCAAGGTCAGTGAAGACTTTTGAAATGTAGTCGATGTTGTAGGAAAATGATTAAAAGCAGAATATGATTACTTTCATCTTATGTACTATTACTAGTGATGTAGATAACTGGAATTTGGGTTTTTAACAAACATTAGTAATTATTGAAGTTCAAACTGGCCTTAACCTAGACCAGTGACTATCAATGGCTGGAATTTTCACAATAACAGGGAGCGTCTTTGAATGTAATGCCTCTCCCAAACCTGCGTCCACCATTATTGCTGGGATGGGGGATGGTGAGAAATGGGGTGATGTAGTTTGCACATTTGTGGTTTACTGAAGTGCAGCACATTGAAAGAGATTCCGTTTTCCATGAGTGATATTTCCAAA